TAAAAACCTTTGTTTCAAGGACAGTTTTAGCTTCTTATCGTCTTCGTTGGATAAGTTGGTAAAGTTGAGTAAGTATGAAGATGATAAAAGGCGTGAGAACTGGAAGAACAATTTTAGATACAGTGTTAGAAATCCATATGTTAAAACCATGAAGATTTGGACTTGTTGACTGACAAGGGGATTTATCCTTATGACTATTTTGATAGTTTTGACAGATTTACTGAAAGAAACTTACCATCAAAAGAAGCGTTCTACAGTAAATTAAGTGAGGAACATGTCAATGACATGTAAAGGAGAAAGGGCACAAAAGGTTTGGAAACACTTCGGTATTAGAACATTAGGACAATGTCACGATTTGTATTTGAGAACCGATGTTTTATTATTGACTGATGTTTTTGAAAACTTTAGAGACTTATGTATGGAATACTACGGTTTGGACCCCGCACACTATTATACCCTTCCTAACTTCGCTTGGGAAGCTATGTTGTTGAAAACTGGTGTTGAAATTGAGCAGTTGCACGATAAAGAAATGTATGAGATGGTTGAAAACGGAATGCGAGGAGGTATGTGTCAGGTCAGTCATAAACTGGCTGAGGCAAACAATAAGTATATGGATGAAGCCTTCGATGAAAACAAGCCGTCAAGTTGTATCAATTACTTAGATGCTAACAATCTGTATGGTCTGGCGATGTCTCAAAAATTGCCTTTAAAGAACATCAAATGGACAAAGAAAACACCTAACATTGAAAAGTGGGATGAAAAAGATGAGTATGGTTTCATCCTTGAAGTGGATTTGGAATATCCAGAAACACTACACGACTACCATTCGGACTATCCATTAGCACCGGAAATAATGAATGTCAATGCTAATATGTTGTCAGACTATCAAAAGGAAATCTTCAAAATCTACTATGGAAACAAAGAACCGAAGGACGAGAAAACCAGCAAGTTAATATTGAATTTGAAAGATAAAGAAAAATATGTGGTTCATATCAAGACTTTACAGTATTATCTAAAAATGGGTATGAAACTCACCAAGGTTCATAGGATAATAAAATTTCAACAGAGGGCTTGGTTGAAACCGTGGATTGACTTCAACACTGGTAAGAGGAAAGAAGCGAAGAGCGACTTTGAGAAAGACCTGTTCAAATTAATGAATAACGCGGTGTATGGAAAAACTATGGAAGACAAAAGAAAACATATGGATTTTGAATTGGTAGATAACGATGTTAGGTATGAAAAATGTGTGAATAATCCAACATTCAAAAATAGATTTATCATAAATGAAAATCTGGTAGGAGTGGAGAAAACTAAAGCGAAACTGAAATTGGATAAACCCATATTCTTAGGAATGACAATATTGGATTTGAGTAAATTACATATGTATGAGTCTTACTATGGTGTGTTGAAAAAGAAATACAACGAAAATATCAAATTGATATATACCGATACTGACAGTTATGTAATTCAAACCTTCACTGATGATGTCTACAAGGATTTTCAAGGTATCAAGCAGCATATGGATTTTAGCGATTATCCTGTTGAACATCCATGCCACGACAAAACAAATAAGAAGGTCTTAGGAATGTACAAAGATGAAGTCAACGGTAAAATCATTACTAGATTCATCGGGTTGAAACCTAAATCCTATGATTTCACAATCCACGGCGAGGATGAGGAACACAAGAAATCCAAAGGTGTCGTGAAGCACAAGGTGAAGAAGGAACTGACCTATCAGAACTATCATGAAGCACTGCATCACAACAAAAAGCACGAAATCTCCTACAACTTCATCAGGAGCAAAACACATCAAATATATTCAATGTCTCAAGTCAAGCAATCACTCAGTAATTATGAAAATAAAAGACATTACTTAGATGCCTTTACTTCTTTACCATATGGGCACTTTTCCATAAAATAAATATCTAAATAATTCTAATAATATGAAATTATTAGAATTATTTAGTGTTACTGGCAGTGTTGGTATGGTCGCTCGTGATTTGGGCTACAGTGTGATTTCCTTGGATTTGAAAAATGCTGATATCAATCAGGATATTCTGAGTTGGAACTATAAAGAGTTTGATGTTGATGATTTTGATGTGATTTGGTCATCTCCTCCGTGCACAGAATACAGCATAGCGAAGACGAGGGGTGTCCGAAAGATTGAGTATGCTCATAGTATTGTTTTGAAAACCCTTGAAATCATCGACTACTTCAAACCGAAGTGGTGGGTCATTGAAAACCCTGCAACTGGACTTTTGAAGGAACAGCCCTTTATGAGTGGTCTAAATATTATGATGTGGATTACTGTAAATATGGTATGAACTACCGAAAGAGGACGAGGTTGTGGTCAAACATTGAAACATGGAAACCCAGACCATTATGCAAAAGGGATTGTGGCAATATAAGAAATGGAAAACATCTTGAAACTGCCCAACGGTTGCCCAATGGTAAAAAGGTTGATTGGGGTGATGGATACATCAGTCATAAACAAGATGAGTTGTATAAGATACCTACTGATTTGATTAGTGATATATTTGTTTGTTTGTTTGTGTGATTGGTAAGATGGTTCAGGCGAAGCCTCGTGGAAAAGCGGTTCAGGCGAAGCCTTGTGGAAAAGCGGTTCAGGCGAAGCCTTGTGGAAAAGCGGTTCAGGTGAAGCCTTACGTTTGACAAAGATGGATGGCAATCGGTGGTATATGGCCTCTGTACAAATCAGTAGTCGGGAACGTTCTCCTACCCTTGAGAACGTTGTTCTCCTACCCTTGGGAACGTTGTTCTCCTACATTTGAGAACGTTGTTCTCCTACATTTGAGAACGTTGTTCTCCTACCCTTGGGAACGTTGTTCTCCTACCCTTGTTGCGATTCAAGAAAATAGGTTTACTCGTATTATTCTATAACTATAATATGATTGCAACAAAGTTTTATAATCTAACACTGCATTTAAATGAAACCTGAAACCCCCAGCTAAAAACTACTTAAAGAAAAAATAATATAATTTAATAAGAGACAATGAGTGAGAAATGGACTACCTTACCTGTTGATATATCAAAAAATATAATTTCATATAAATTCGGGGAACCTGAGTATTTGAATATAAAACATAATCATATTGAGACATTAAAGAGAATACAACAACGATATAAATTTAACAGAACTGAAACAAAAAGAAAGACAAAGCACTGCACTGTTGTAGGTGGCGATGATTTCAAGAGACACATAATTAAGTATTACATTACAAGGAATATACCTTTAAGCATTAAAAGCATCGAAGATATAGTTTTTAATGAAAATGACAACTTAGATTGTTTGTTAGATGACCTTGAAACTGGTGAAGGTTATGAAGTAACGTTAATAGTTGAGGTATGTTTATTTGTGGGGGATCATCAAGACGATGATTCTAGAACTTTTACGTTCTTTTCTCATAGTGATGATGTTGTAGATAATGTAACCATTGATAATTTATCTGAAGTAATGATGGCGTCGTATCAAGAAATAAACAGTTGTATTGATGAAGAAAGAAGTAGAACGGAGTTTGGAGGAGTCAAAAGCATAAAGTTTAAGCTAATTGTTGATGAACCTGTACAATTCAAAACTAAACCATAATTATATCATTTATATTCTTATATGTTATAATTATAGTGAACTTTTAACCTATAAACATTTCATTAAATGACAAACCAGAAGACCCGCCCAAAAGCCAACCCGTGAAACCGTAGAAAGTCCTAACCTCTTTCATTCAATAAAACTAAAAGTTGAAATCTGGAACGAAACAGGGGACAAAATCATCAATTCGTTACCACATCCATATCGTTATTTCATGCCCCCAAAATCAGCCTTTTAAAAACGGATAAGGTGGTGCACGTGTTGAATTGTGAAATAAAAAAACAGAACAGGCAACCATCTACCCCCCACCCCCTAGGACAAGCCTTTTCTACATTTTTTAGGGGAGGGGAGGGGAGGGGGGGAGGGAGGGGGGGAGGTAGGGAGGGAGGGAGGGAGGGAGGGAGGGAGGGAGGGAGGGAGGGAGGGAGGGAGGTAGGGAGGGAGGGAGGGAGGGAGGGAGGGAGGGAGGGAGGGGAGGGAGGGAGGGGGAGAGGGAGAGGGAGAGGGAGAGGGAGGAGAGGGAGAGGGAGAGGGAGAGGGAGAGGGAGAGGGAGAGGGAGAGGGAGAGAGGGAGAGGAGAGGGAGAGGGAGGGAGAGGGGAGAGAGGGAGAGGGAGAGGGAGAGAGGGAGAGGGAGAGAGGGAGAGGGAGGGAGAGGGAGAGGGAGAGGAGGGAGAGGGAGAGGGAGAGGGAGGGAGAGGAGAGGGAGAGGGAGGGAGAGGGAGGGAGAGAGGGAGAGGGAGAGAGGGAGAGGAGAGAGGGAGAGGGAGGGGAGGGGAGGGAGGGGGGGAGGGGAGGGGAGGGCAGGGGAGGGGGCAGGGGAGGGGAGGGAGGGGAGGGAGGGGGAGGGAGGGATGGAGGGAGGGAGGGAGGGAGGAGGGAGGGGGAGGGAGGGGGAGGAGGAGGGGAGGGAGGGGAGGAGGGGAGGGAGGGAGGGAGGGGAGGGAGGGGAGGGAGGGGAGGGAGGGGAGGGAGGGGAGGGAGGGAGGGGAGGGAGGAGGGAGGGAGGGAGGGAGGGAGGGAGGGAGAGATGGGGAGGGAGGTAAGGGAGGGGGAGGGAAGGAAGGAAGGGGAGGGAGGCAAGGAAGGGGAGGGAAGGAGGGAGGGAGGGAGGGAGGGAGAGGGAGGGAGACGGTTTTGCCTTCCGCAAAGTAATGTGTGCCACTGGCCGGTTTCAAAGCCAGCACTTGCCTGTCTGTCTACCAAGTTTGTATGATGCACCCCTGAATGTGACATGCCAGACTCATGCCACAGTTCACAGATTTCATACGGTTCGTACAGATCAAGAAAAGCTTCCCCACAAAGAGCCCTCCCCCCTGCTGGCGTTCCCGGAAAGGCGACCTTCAAATGCAAGCGGTAGACCCGTGTCAAGACAAAACTGCTTCAGCTCCGTCCTTGTTGCCACTTGGATCAAACTCTGTGGTGGATTCCTGGCTCGCACGCACTGAGTACAAAAGGAATGTAACTCCATGCAATCGCAATGGCAGAACATGTCGATTCACCCATTTGCTACTCAGATTGGCCGAAAATTGGGCTAGAACCTCTGCATATTGAAGAAGAACATCTATCTGAAAGATGTTCAACCGAAGCCAAGCTGCACTTCACTTCAACGTGCGCCTACTGACACTTCTCTAACCTCCCGTAACTAAAGCTTCACTGCCGGCTGAACTGGCTCGGCCTGCGCGTTGACCTGAGCCCAAGCGGAGCCACCCAAAAAACCGCAGGCTCGCGGAAAAAAGCATTCTGAAAAGGAAGGAAAGGGAAGGAACATGAAAAGCAAGCCTTAGGTCACACAAAAGCCACACTTGGATGTTTGGAGAGGAAATGCCAGGCCCCGGGCATAGTAGCCCAGGCTGCCTTGCTGCACAATCAACACGTCCTTCCCTTCAGTTCCTCGGGAGAAGACGTCCTGGCACAGTGGCAATGAGGTCGAAACAGAATAAAACACAACTTGGGGTTGATTGCTCTGGCCAACTAAATGCTGATCAACCCCAAGTCTTTTCATCTCGTCAAGAAAGCACAGCGCAGTATAAAGCAAGGCGGCCGCTGATGTGAAGTGGGCTGAAGACACCAGCAGTTCCAAGCCTTTTTAGCTGACAAACGAGCCTCTGTCAAAAAAAAAACTTTGGGCACTGCTCCTATGGGGATCAAAGCTGCCCAGAGTCTACCTGAAATTGGCGTTTGTCAGCAAAGGCTGCAAAAAAGCCACTGCTCCTGAGCAGAAACTGCCGAGCTCTCGTACATGGCCAGGTGACAGACCTGGCTGCACGGTCCGGCAGCAATTCTTCAAGGCCTGCATGATTGAAAAAATGTGTATGTGTGTGTGTGCGTGCGAGTTCGTGTCCGTGTGCAAGCAAGCGGGCGCTGTGCGTGCGTGTGTACGTGCGCGTGTGGTTGCGCCTGCGCGGGTGCGTGGGCGTGGGCAGAGCCCTCACTGAGAGTTTCTGCTGGGCCTTTCACTTCAGCATATGCTGTTTCACTTCGCGTTCCTAAGCGACTGAATCTGCAGCGTTCCTAAGCGAGACACTCGCCTGCGAATGCGTGTGCTTGTGCGCGCGCGCGCGCGGGCGCGCGGGCGGGCGGGCGCGCGGTTGCGCGGATGCGCGGGTGCGCGGATGCGCGGATGCGCGGATGCACGGATGGGCGGATGGGCGAATGGGCGGATGGGCGGATGGGCGGATGGGCGGATGGGCGAATGGGCGGATGGGCGGATGGGCGGATGGGCGGATGGGCGGATGGGCGGATGGGCGGATGGGCGGATGGGCGGATGGGCGGATGGGCGGATGGGCGGATGGGCGGATGGGCGGATGGGCGGATGGGCGGATGGGCGGGCGGGCGGGCGTGCGGGCGTGCGTGCGTGCGTGTGTCTGAATCAAGCTTCGAAGCTCTGTGCAACTCACCCTGCCTTTCTGAGGAAGCGATGGTCTTTGTAATGACCTGAGACTGAACGTGTGGGAAGACAGAGGCATCAGGGTTGGTGCTCTCCCATCTGCGTATGATGGCACTTGCTAGAAAAAGCGCAAAAAATGCACTTCTGCCATCCACTTGCGCCCAGCCACACCAATGAGGAAGGAAGTCTGCCGTCACAATCAATGGCAGGAAAATCTCCTCACCAAGTCGTTTGGCATCATACACCCTGCCACACAGTGCCCAACGAATAGCATATGCACCTCCTTCCCTGACAGTCTCCTCATGGAGTCGAGATTTCAATGAGTCAGGGATCTCGTTGAGAAGCAGCACCTGCAAGGAACAAGCCCTGATAACACCCAACAGGACACCCTCCTGAGCTTCCACTACGGAAAGACGGTGTTCACACCCTCGCCAATGGCTCGCGGATCTCTTTATTTCGGGGGCCGTGGCAGCTCAAGCCGTCGTGCAAGCTGGTCATGGCCTCATGCTCCTTGAGGCGAATCTCGAAAAGGCCCCGCTTCCGGCAAACGTCCTGCACCGGCCATGCGACACTTCGACGGAGCAAGTGGTCAACTTCGCCCCTCCAGGCCGATCAAAGAATGCTGGTCTTTCTGATTGAAAGTTAACCGGATCAAACAATGACTGCTGCCATGCAAGCTCCGCGTCTCATGAGCAGCTTACGACAACTTCCTGCCTGAACCTTGTTGAACAGCTCTGCGGACAAGTTCCTTTCGTTGAAGAACTGCCGTATCCGAGACTCCTGGAAAAGAGGTGAAGTCTGATCGGATCGGTTCAGGAGATCTCTCCTCTTCGGTTTCGGAACAAACACATTCACTCATTCAACCACATATTCATTCATTCAACCCCGGCACGCATGCTGTGCAAGATGTCACACCCTAGTGATCTGCAAGGCAATTGTTGATCTATCAATATTTTCGCCGAGCGCCATGGAAGGCTTCCAAAAACAAACATGTGGCTGTGGGTCAAAATATGGTAACCCCAAAGTGGAACCCATGGACTCAAACCTGCGGTCCCCTGGTGGAGTAATTTTGACCCATGTCAGCCCCCCCTCACTCGGAGTCAGCCAGAGCCCCTCGGTGACTCACTGCGGTGCCACGTTCGCCTGCTTCAGCTGCTCCATGCGAACGGCCCGCAAGGTGTTCACTGCGCTGGTGATGGAGCTGATGAAGGAGGAGAAGACTCCCATCGCTATCAAGATCACCACGACCGCGAAGAGCCTGCGACAAATCCAGCGCACTGCGCAAAAAGAGCCTGGTTTTGCGGTGGAAATACGAAAGCTTGTTTAACACCTGCGGCCTGCTTGCTGAACCAATGTCACAATCTGTTTGAGGCAAATATGGGAGATGCTGCTCGGGTCCGCATTGGGACCAGCAAACGACACCAGGACGACACTCGTGTACTTACAGGCGGCTTTGACATGAAAAGCCACCCTTGGGACTTTCCTCTGTTTCAGGCTTACAAGTGGTCAATCCCAAAAACCTCCGGGGTGCACGTAATTAGCGCAGCTAGGCATCCAACAAGAGGAAGAGGGAGGGCCCTGCAATGAAGCAGGAGAGCTGGACGCTTGCAACTAGATGTGTTTCACCAAAGCAAGTGTTTAAAATAGTGGATTTAGGGGCAATGACCTGCATTCGCCGGGGAAAGGCCACATCGGTTTTTCAGCCAACGAATCGAAGTGACGCGGTCGCGCCCAGCCTCTCCAATGGTGTCACCTCTGATTTGAGCTGGGAAGGGCAACTCTCAGAGTCCAACAGGGACTTCATGCGACATTTGAATCACCTCCTGAGCTTGCCAGGCCACTGATGAGAAACAAGGCTCTGCCTTATTCAGGGATTGTTGAGCTACGACTGCTGACTGTGATTTGAAGATGTGGAAATTGCAGCGCCCTGGCTGACATAGGTCAACCTGCGCTCCCCCAAAAAAAGCACCGGGCCAAGTGCTTGGCCCGTTGTGGCCGAGCTGCGGGGGAGATGTTGTTGGTCGCCGGGGTAAACTGAGTCAGGCTCCAATGCATCGCCGCCACATATCCAAGGCCAAAGTCAGCCTGATGCAAACCTTCCCACGACACCCAACGGAATGATTTCACTCCCCGGTAGATACCAACCAACCAAGCCTATGAGACCCGGAAAACCACTGGTTTCAAAACTACTCCCCTGTTGCAAACACCAGCCATGGTGAAAAATACCTTGGTGTCAAAGTGGTGCGACATCACAGGATGAAATCGATCTCGGAGATTGGAAGAGCAACCCCAGCCGATTCTCTCGGCTTACCCGGCCTCCTCAATGCCTGCCAGTAGCAGCCAGCTACCCTCCTCCAAATAGAGCAGCCCCAGGCCTGGGATGATCTCCGACGCAGCAACTGGACTGAGCACCGGCAACTGTCAAGAACGATGTGGCGACACTGCGGCCCGCACCATACCAGAAGCATGCAATGAAGTGGTTCGCCACCAAAATCATGCCCAATCCTGAAAGCACCTTCAGGGAAAGCACAAGCACCGAGAGTTGCGCCATATTCCAAACTCCCTTTGACATTGTCGCTTCACAAAAAGAGATCTCTGCGATTGTCTCGAATCCTTGCTGATGGATTAAGGATCATCCTAGAATTCCTGAGTCATTTCTGCCGACATGTCCTTTAGCTACGCGGACGCTACTTCTTCCGCCAGTCCGGCCAAGCCGAGCCGAGCGCTACCGGCCCCCCTGAACGCTCCCCTCGCGGGAGGGCGGTTGCTCACAGCCACAAAGCCAAACAAGATCCCCGGCCCCGGGTCTACAACTGGGTCGTGGTGTCGCTTTCTTTTGGCCTCAGAATTTCCATCAATTCACAAGGGCATGTGGCGACTCACTATCTTTACCACAAAGCCAGGGGAACTCCCTGGCTTTCCCATGTCAATTTCGAGCGCTGCATATGTCGTGGCGCGCGTGGGGAAAGGAACATGTTCAAGAGCGTTACCAGAGCTTTGTACTTCGATGGCAAAGCCAGCGTTCAGTCCCTGTTAGTCGCTTCTTGTTTGGCGGCTTTGGGGACCCACACAAAATGAGTGTTCAATCCCAAAAATGTTCCGATGCTTCTGTACGTGATACAATAATTGTGGGAGTTGATATTACAGACGGGGGTCACTTTCCACCACCAGGTTGCAATTGCACAAACGTCGGACGGTGAAACGGGGCAATCCATCGCTGAGTGGCTGCATCCCACTGGAAGCGAGTTCACTGACAGGCGTATTTCGTCAGGCTGTGTCATCTATCCAGTGGCATATGTGTCTTTAGAATGGGGCAATGGCTTGGTGTCCTTCGGCTTTCTCGGAAAACACTCGCAAAACTTCAAAGTTCTTTGGATTCATTGTTTCTCAGAGCAGGAGTCCTTCACAACTTGATTGGTCTTCCTGGTGTCTTCTATGTGCAAGTATGGCCGTAGTGTTGGTGGATATCATGTGGGTCTACATCTCCCTTCCCTGCCAACGGGTATTCGTTCTTCAGCGGCAAGCATTTCGATTGGGAGGGATGGGCCGTGCACGATCAGCAGGCGAGCTCGTCAGGATATCCCAAACGCTTGCTGGGCGTGAGAGTCCACACCGGGCTTGGAACGTTACCTAAGATTGGGGAGATGGGTCACTCAATTGCCCCTCTGCGCAGGGCTTGCTTTATCTCTTCGCGCGTCAACTGTGCTTCCCAAGGGAAGCCATCCAGCCTTGCTGATCATGACAAAGTAGAGTGAGGTGAAGCGTCGCGTGATCACCGCAAATGCCTGTGCCAAGGTTGGACAAGCCAAGTGGCTCGCGGATTGATACTTGATGTTCAAACGCACGCTCTGGAAACCAAGGGTATGTATCTAAGCTGAAACGGGTGTTTAAACGTAGCCGGCCGCAGTGTACGCATTATGGAACGTGTTCAATCGTTCAAAAATGTTCAAAGGCTGCTATTGACTAGTAACACGAGCGGCTCTCCACCTTTGGAGTGATACGGATTGCACGAACGTGCGGTTCAGGAGGGAAGCTGAGCGCTGCCTGAATTTGTTCAACATTGTGCAAAGCTAAAACTGGTCTTCACAGCCACACAGGCGGCTCGACCACTTACAGAGCGTATTTCAGTGGAACGGCCCAGAACTGGCTCGCTTGCCAAGGTCGTAGCTGTAGCACCCTATATGGCGTGTCATACCTTCCAAAACATTTGAAAGTCATCAAAACATTGGCAACACCTTCGTGCTCAAACATTGCGTGCGAGATGAGACTGTACATGTGCGTGTGCGTGTGCGTGTGCGTGTGCGTGTGCGTGTGCGTGTGCGTGTGCGTGTGCGTGTGCGTGTGCGTGTGCGTGTGCGTGTGCGTGTGCGTGTGCGTGTGCGTGTGCGTGTGCGTGTGCGAGTGAGAGTGCGTGAGCGTGTGCGTGTGCGTGTGCGTGTGCGTGTGCGTGTGCGTGTGCGTGTGCGTGTGCGTGTGCGTGTGCGTGTGGGTGTGCGTGTGCGTGTGCGTGTGCGTGTGCGTGTGCGTGTGCGTGTGCGTGTGCGTGTGCGTGTGCGTGTGCGTGTGCGTGTGCGTGTGCGTGTGCGTGTGCGTGTGCGTGTGCGTGGGTGTGTGGGCGTGCGTGTGCGTGTGTGTGTGTGTGTGTGTGTGTGTGTGTGTGTGTGTGTGTGTGTGTGTGTGTGTGTGTGTGTGTGCGTTTGCGTGTGCGTGTGCGTGTGCGTGTGCGTGTGCGTGTGCGTGTGCGTGTGCGTGTGCGTGTGCGTGTGCGTGTGCGTGTGCGTGTGCGTGTGCGTGTGCGTGTGCGTGTGCTTGTGCGTGTGCGTGTGCGTGTGCGTGTGCGTGTGCGTGTGCGTGTGCGTGTGCGTGTGCGTGTGCGTGTGCGTGTGCGTGTGCGTGTGCGTGTGGTGTGCGTGTGCGTGTGCGTGCGCGTGCGCGTGTGCGTGCGCGTGTGCGTGTGCGTGTGCGTGTGCGTGTGCGTGTGCGTGTGCGTGTGCGTGTGCGTGTGCGTGTGCGTGTGCGTGTGCGTGTGCGGTTGCGTGTGCGTGTGCGTGTGCGTGTGCGTGTGCGTGTGCGTGTGCGTGTGCGTGTGCGTGTGCGTGTGCGTGTGCGTGTGCGTGTGCGTGGGCGTGGGCGTGTGCGTGTGCGTGTGCGTGTGCGTGTGCGTGTGCGTGTGCGTGTGCGTGTGCGTGTGCGGTGTGCGTGTGCGTGTGCGTGTGCGTGTGCGTGTGCGTGTGCGTGTGCGTGTGCGTGTGCGTGTGCGTGTGCGTGTGCGTGTGCGTGTGCGTG